AATATACCATGCCCTATGTTTCCCAAATTCAGATCTTGAGTTTGATTTATGTTGGTCTCACACCAAGTGATTGTGATTGGAATAGCTATCTAAACCCCACAAATGTATTAGCTTTTTCCATACACGAGAGCCTTCCAAAATGCTTGTTTTCTTTATTTTTTTTAAGTTCAATAGTGTGGAGGTATTCAGACCAGTTTATGTGTACCTCGACTGATTTCTTCCTCGATCCAGTCAAAGGCTGGTCATCTACTTTAGGACTAGGGTATTCATGAGGAATAAATACCTCATGGCGTAACCCCAAAGAGTTACCAAGATTCAAACTCATGACGTCTGAATTTATAACTTATCATTGTTATCACTTGAACTACTCTTTAAAATTATTTATAGTCTTTGTGTAGCTATTTTGTGGCCATATTTCTAACATACACGACATTTACTTGTATGACATTTTAATGGGTTATACGTCTAATTAGTGGTAAATTTTTTGGGAGAGCGGCAATGGGTTCATTGATTAAAACTTCATGAAATCATCATTATCAATTGAGTTGTGTCGCGTTTAAGCTATCTCATTTGATATTTTCAATCAATAAAATATAAAAATTTTACACATAACGCGTTTTTACTAAATAAAAAGTGAATAATACAATATCGAAAAGTAATATTTCAGTGCTATATTGGAACTCGTTCAAATGTTCAAAGGTACGCTCTCAAGTCTCAACTAAGAGCCTTTTACAAGTACTCTTATATTAGACATCTTTTGCATGACATTTAATATCCCTCTAAAGTTTAGCAATAGCTTCCAGACTTCCTATTCACTATCGGTGAATTGTAGCAATCATGTGTCTTTTAAACTTATGATAGTAGAATCAACCTTGGATGCATACAATCATTCACAAACCACGTGTACTGGTTAATAAAATTCAAACTCAAAACGTGTGTTTGTTAACGCCTTGTTCAACTATTGACGTAACTCGTTCAAATTTATTTCAAGTTATTCAGTCTTGAGAAATCAACTGTACACAAATTCGAAACCATTTGCACCTAACCATCCCAAAACATTGAAAAAAAAAACACAAATCACATGCATTTAATTTATTTATGCCATCAGGATCAATAGACAGCCATCAAGAAAAGCTTTGCATGCTATAGTTCATAACTGCATTACCGATTATTTCTACACTTTTAAATTCAATTATTCCTCGATCTCACTTCGCCTCTTAAGCTATTCAATTTCTTGCATTATCCCCCTCCCCCCCCCCCCCCCCATCTATGGTTATTGATTTCACACTGTCCTAAAAATAAACGTCTGTTATAGTTGAAGGTGCAATTTGAGTAACACAATAATTGAGGGGGTAATGTAAGACGAGTACCATGATTGAGGAGGTCAAAGTATAATTTGTCCTCGGAGTGATTAAACTTTTGTTTGGTATCTCTAAAACACTCCCCAGAGGGAGAGAATGCCTAACTATCAAAATATCTGGGCTCAAAATAGGGGTGGAGATAAGATGAAAACAAGAATTTGATAGAGCTTCTGATATCAGAAGAGCTTATCTGGGAAATGCTATCAAATTGATTTGAGGATAGTTGTTTGGCCTGTTCCCAACCGAAACAACCGACCCTGCTAGAGGTATAGAACAAATGAATCAATTTTGATGCTGAAGTACAGTTAAAAGTTCAATAAAATCTCTGCATAAAACAATCACCAACAAATGTCGATGTATGCAACATGTGAAAAAGCAACAGTATGTAATAGAATCTAAAGAACCTGAAGCAGGCATAGGGGTGCAACTCGGACGGGTTGGGCGGGTTAGACAGTCAACCCTAGTCTAACCCTAATCCAACCTTAGGTATATAATCTTCAACCCTAACCCTAACTCTTACCCTACCTCGGATTAAGGAACTCAATCCGAACACTGCCCGAGTTTAATTCGGACGGGCTCGGGTTGAGTTCGGGTTCACTGCAAGAGAGACAGAGAAAGAGGGGAATAATTACAAATTTATAAAATAATTCATATATTTCATTCATAACAGTGCACGACTCCAAAAAGCTAATGATCTCAAAGCACAATCCCATAAAACATAGAAATTAGACTCATAAAAACATTAAACTTAAAACATCACACTATCATTATTAATCACGCATAATAAAGTAGCAAGCAGTAAGAAACAGAGGACGATGGAGTAAAAATGAAAAAAAGTGCTAATGCTATAAATATAATTTTTTTTAATTTGTCAGGTTCGGGTTGGACTCGGGTTCGGGATGCCTCAACCCGAGCCTGGCCCAAATTGAATTCGGGTTGGAATTTTTTTACCCAAGCCCAACCCAAGTATTAAAAATCATAACCAAGCCTTAATTTTTTCGGGTTGGGCTTGAATTGCCCAACCCAAGTTGCACCCCTAAGCAGGCATACCAACAAAAGGTAGTCTCGGAGAATTATATAAAGGTAAAAATTTTATTTAATCCCCTCAACTATACTCTTATCTCCCATTACCCTTCAACTATTATGCTTCTCACAAATCCTCCAACTGTGGTTACAAATTGGATGGAAAGTCAGGTCATCATGCCCCCAAAATAAGTGATTTTGTTTCAGTTTCGTCCCAAATTCTAATAACACATTGACAATTTCCATCTAAAACATAACAGACATTTGGTTTCAGAATAATGTGAAACCAAATCAAGTAGTTGATGAGGCAACATGAGTCAAAGGTGAAGTGAGATTCTACAACTTAAGAAGGCAAAGTATAATTAATTCTCATGTAAAAGACCACCTTGCCTTCTTCAATGATGAACAAGCTGGTGCTTTGAAATCTGCCATAAACATCTTGAGGGCTTTTTTTTATGTCATTGTAGGTGCAGTTTGCAAAAAGGGTATGCAATCAAAATAACCAAGTCTTCTTCAATCAATAACAACTAGGCGCTTCATAATCTAACATGGCACCTTAGCTTCTGTTATCACATATGGTGCTGTGTGCAGGTGGTCATACTATCAAGATCAAATTGTCCTATTGTGCTTTATAGTACACCTGAAACAAGAATCCAGTTACTATTAACAGGTTTCTTACCACTGATCTTGTTTTCTCTTTGTTTTTTACTTTCTAAAGAAGGATACAGTGTGCACAAGATCATGCTATCAAGATAATATCTGGAAAAAGAAACCATGTTATAAATAGGTTTAAACAACAGTAAAGGTGAACAAAAGACTTGTAGTCTAGTACACACGATGTAACGAATATAAGGTTTAATGTACGTTACGTAAAGAAAACGAAAACGAAAACGAAATTGGATGTATGAGTTTTTCTTTCGGATTCACACCCTTTCAGAATAAAAAGACATGCATGTTTTAAGTCCAAAAGCATACAAAAATACATTTTAGTGATTTATAATGAACTATAATTTATCGTAACATGATTTTGATATGTTAACTAAACTTACTTTTAGTGAATTATAATGAATTTCACTGTATCATACATGTAGATTCCCGGATTTCCAGCAAGAAGTGTAAGTGGTTCGGCATTTCTGCCGAACGAAGTTGTAGTTGGTTGATTATAGTGTACACAGTAAAGTACATCTAACTCTTTGAGATTTGTCAATAAACCACACAGATCCCCTCCTAGGGTATGAAAAAGAACACCATCTTCCCCTGAGTTTGGTTTGTTGTAACACATGATCCCCTTGATATTAAAATTCGTTCAAGATGCCATTCTATCTCACAACATATTTCCATCAAAAAAATCCCAAAATACCCACCCATCATATTATAACTAAAATCCCATAAAAGCCCAACAATTCTATCAAACCTTCACAAACCCAATTTTTTTTTAAAATGCCTCAGTCCTCAGCTAGCAATGCACACCAACTATTACCAGCCCCACCACCACCCATTCTACTGCAACACACTGTCCCCCATCCCCCACCATCCCAACATGCTGTCCCAAGTACCCACCCACCCACACCTACCTTGCTAAAAAACTCCCATGAAACCCACCACCACGGCACCCATCTTCTTCCTCTCTCTATGCCTCCCTCCTCTCTCTTGCGCTCTTCACAAACACACTTGCCAGAAGCAGACACATATAGCAGAACTCACATATGCACACACAAATTATGAAATGAACTTGTACAGTACTTTAAAGGACAACTATGAAATCTAAACCTCAAGTTCTGTTGATATCAGCTCAAAGGGGATTTTTTGTCACGATTTACCAAACTCAATGGTCTCTAGGTCATTTTGTAAATGTCAACAGATGCATGCAGTATTTAACCCAAACTCACAAGTGTTGACATAAATAGCCGCAAGAATTCCATACTTGGCAAGAAGGATTAGACAGATATATATGCAATTCGTCCCCCAACATATTTGATTAACAAGATCCAAACTGGATAACCTGCAGCTATTAGCAAAAAACGATGACTAACCCAAGATATATGAGGTAAGTCACTTGTTCCACACATTACTTCAATAAACCAGCACAAAGTACTCGGCAACATAAACAACCAATACTTGCCAAACGCCAACATATACACCGCTTGCAGCTTGTAGATGAATCATGGTTTTTACTTCCTGTTTGGATTGTTGGATTATGGGTTCTACACTTCTACTTATTCCAGCCCAGTCCAATCCAAAGCACAAATCTCCTTTCCAGTCAGCCAAGAATTACAAATTTAAACTAGACTATTTCGTAGAGTCACTCAAAAAAGAAGAAACATATATGATACCTTTGACCATTACCTGTTCAAAGGGAATAAATGCATCAAGAGAAAACAGAATACAAAAACCAACTTCCATTTAATTAAACTCTGAAAGTGGTGATTGCAAACATCTGTACGTGTGTGCCATTATTGTAATGTTGATCTCAAGTAAAGCATAGTAAAGCATATAGAGCACTAACTACAGGAACACCACGGGTTCATGGAATCAGAAACTCTACAGCTCTAATTCACAACAGGCCACGAGGAAGTATTATACATATTAGTTACAACACAAAACCTACTGTCCAGGCTAACCCTTAAGTTCTCCGGGCCGAACCGGTAGGGCTTTGATGTCTGGTGACGGTTGATAGGATATTGAGATCAGCTTAGACCTATACTTCTCATCGCCATCACCATTTATACCTTCAACCACATTTGCAATGTTTGAATCTTCGGGTGAATGTCCCAAGGCAAGATCCTTCCCGGCCACAGGGTAAGAGATGGCTATTAGTGACTCCCGAGTCATGTCCTCTGAAGCGTCCTTGCCAGGTTCTTCCTTATCCATAAAATGGAAATCTTCTTCCTGTGGATGTCACAAAGATCAAATTGGAAAGATATCGAGATAGAATACAAGCAGGCAAACATATAGATACACCCCGTGTGCCATAAGAATCCAAGCATTCAATCAAGCATCAGTTTAATTCAGTCTGGAGTCATTCGACATGCATTTAATTCACACTTTATTGGTTTTCTGTTTCACTGGAACAGACAGCAATCCAGCTACTTTGTTGAATTCTTCAATCAATCTTCTTGTTTAGTCCATAACAACAACATTAACCAGTAAATCAGGGTTCAAATTTCTGAGTAGTTCCTTTATTCACACAACAAATGACATCCAGCAACAACATTAGAGATTGTATCTAAAGGTTTAACAGCAGACTATAGAATCACAACAATGAGATCCTAAGATTTGTCCCAAGGTTGAGGACGACTTTCTCATAGCTATTAAGTAATTAAAAGATGGCTCTTCTAGCCAAAGAAAAGAACATGTGACATGCTATATAGCAGATTCTAAGTAGCAATATCTAGAATTCGAGATTTGGACGTGTCCGAGTTTAATAAGATACATGTTTAGTGATTGCGCTGAGTTTAAGAGCCATTTTCTTCTCCAGCCCAAGTTTCTTTGAAAAACTATCCATTGCAGGACTTTCTCCGACAAACAAAAGAGATATTTGTCCAAGCAAATTTTATTTTAAGCCAAGAAAGATATGGTATATCATACTTCCGGAAATACTAAGTTACCCAAAATGCTTTCTGGCACACACATGTACCCTCCTACTCCTCTTGGGAATAATACAAATGCGCGGTGCCAATATGATCTTCAACAACATTTATTCCATTCCTTCTCTCATTTCCATTTTATCTTAGTTTAGAAAAGAGAGATTAAAAACTAAAGCACATGATTCTCTGCAACTACGGGGCAAAAGCGCATATCAATCCACTATGTCACCCCACGACCAGCATAGGAACTATATGAAGCACTTGACTCGGCATAATATAAGCAACATAAGGAAATTCATCATATCTTTCAATCCTCCCATCTTAAAAGTCAAAGAGATAATTTGCATTTTGACTTCTCCCAACATGAATTAATCCGACTCGCCAAAAATTCCTTCCTCGTGAACCACTAATAGCTCTTGTAAAAATGCAGTGGTGAATATATCCAAACATAGGGCTAAGCTCCATGAAACTCTTGCAAAATGACCAGCACTTCCTCTTAGAACTTCCCAACAGCCAAGTATTGGATATTAGGTAGAAAACATCTTTAAATTGATGTAGCACTATAGGAATTGCAATCAAAATGATTAATCTTTTGTAAAACCCGGGAAAATTTAAAATTTTATTGTGAAGGGTAAAATGGTGATTAGCCGTTACGATACAAGTCGAGAACCCCAATTTTTTTAAAACTCGGATGACGAAATTGACTTTACCGTTGGAATCGTCTCACGAAATCTAGTTATCCAGTCAAATTTCGTTGAATTCTAAGACAGTCAAATTTCGCGTTTTATAATATGATCGGGCATCTCATGACTAAAATAAACGCGATCGAATTTTAATTGCGAAATACAAAAAATAATTTAAAATTAGTTCAGATAAAATATTTTAAAGGACGTGAGGCGCAACGAGGGCCAAGTTCTATGGGGTACAAATAGGGAGAAAAATCAAAATCTTCTCCCCATTTACACCAGATTTTCCGATAGAGAGAGAAAGAAAGAAGAGAGAGAAACTCAAGGAAATCTCAAACTTCTTCTTGCGATCTAGGGCAAACCATTCGTCGAATCGCTTCGGGCCAATAACAAGAGTTTTCTATGCAACAAGAGCTACGTCTACGTACTTAAAATTGCGGATTTCACCGAAATCTCAAGAACAGAATTTTAGGAAATCAAGGTTTAAAGCCTGAGTTGGGTTTTTTGGAGCTTTTTCTACGTGTATTATGCTTCAAGAGGTAGGTTTCCTTTCCTAACTAGGTTTATTTCCAACCTAGAGTTGAAATATAAAATAGATAGAGTGTTAGAGATGTAATCTCATATTTGGCACATACCTATTGTAGTTGAAATGAGAAAAATGGGTATAAGAATGGTTAAAATTAATTATTGTATAAATTGAATTTTGGTGAAATTGTTCATTGAAATTTCAAGATGAATGTGTTGATCAGGCATGCTATGTGTTTACATTTATGCCTTAAAAGTTTTTGATAAAATACTTATGTTGATTAAGTATTTTATTTGCATTGAATATGTTATAACATACTTGGGATTGATGTTGTGAAATGTTATATATGCCTTATGATATATTCACATTGAAGACTTGAAAATATTGTGGAAATTAAATATTGTTCATAATATACTTATAATATATTGAACATGATATAAAATTGTAATTGTACATTATATTATATATGCACGGAAACTATCACATTCGTGGACATGTGAAATGGGTGTGGGTGTGTACATAGTTTTGATCAAACACAATTATTGGTGGATGATACGTGGAATCGGAAAAGTTGGACCAAGGTTCAACTGAGTCGCATGGGTTGCATTGAAAATAAGGGTTAGGATTAGCAAAAAGGGCTAAATTCTCACTCGGGTGCAAGACCTAGTGATTTGGATACGCACTCCATTGGTATTAAGTCCATAAAGTGTGTCAACATACGCAAAGCCATTAGTGGAAGTCTATAAATGCCGTGTCGGTTAGATACCCATTGGTGGAAGTCCATAAATATCCACCCCAAGAAGGACCCAGGATCTATAAATGGTCATTGAATGTGTAATATCAATGACGGGGACTTGGAATGTCTAGATACATATACATAGCATTGCATATGTTATAGGAGCCGGTGAAGGCTCGGGTTGTATTACATGTGTGAGTCTCACTTCATAACATGGGAAAGCATAATGACATTCATTTCTTGAAGTTGTATGTTCTTAAATGAATGTTTGTTTGATTGTTGAATTACATATGAACATTTCATATACATCTAGGTTGGGGAGTAGGCTCTTTAGAAAATATCCTATTGAGTGTGACTCACCCTTTATGGGGATATATATTTCAGGTGTTAGGACAAGCTCCGGCGGATGACCCTCATTTGGGGAAGTGTTGATAACCGAGCCAGGTTATGGCTCGTGAATCCATTTTGTAATCATTTTGTACTTTGTTTTGCCCTCATATAAATCATATATAAAACCTTATATTTTAACAAAGACATGTAATGAGATATTGTTCTTTTGTAAAAAGAATGAATGGAATGGGTATGGTATGTATTGGATGGCTAAAAGTTTAATTTGGGAAAGTTAAAAAAAAATCTGGGCACTAGGTACCGGTACCTCACATGTACTTGGCATCCAGAGAGCATATGTACCCATACCTAGGCTCACAGGTACCGATACCTCGACGGACAATGTGCTCAAGTACCGGTATCTAGGTTCACAACTACCGGTACCACGCTGACGAAAGCCCGGATACCAGTACCATGTTTATAAGTACCGGTATCAAGTATCGGTACCTCTTCACAAAAACTAAAATTTTGAAATATAACCTTGCCAAACCTTCACTTCTTGAGCCCTTTTGTTTAAAAAATGTAATTGGTTTAATTTTGACTGTAAATTGACGGGGATTAGACTTTGAAATGGTCAAGTGCTTGATATGTATCCAGGTTATGCGTTTGAGAGTGCTCCAGTACAAGAGAGACTCTATCCAAATTCTATGTTGGTTACGATACTGATGAAGGGGATGTGATAGCGTGGTGTCGAATTATGCAGCATTTATAGGTACTTTCGCAGATTGAAGGGTGATCAACTGGTTGATAAAAGACCCCAGTTTAGGGGCGTCACATCTTTGATGATCATTCTAATTAATTTCTTTAAAAAGCAAACCTAATAAAAGAATACCAAAAGAATCTATGAAAATATTCCTACCCAATTTCTTCCCTTCTTCACCTCAAACCAAAGGCTGATTTTGCATCTTAGAATACATTACCAATGAAATTACAAGGTGTCATACTATTCCAACTTCTAATGGCTAACCCCTTTCAGTTAAATTATTTATTCACTCAATTTAGATTTTCAAGGACAAAAAAGATACTAACATGAGTCCAAGACAAAGTTACAAAATTAATTTCATCATAAGCGTTCAAACTCTAAGACCATGTCCAAGATTTGAAATTTCATTTCAATGCTGCGTTTTGGCCACCTAGAAAATGAAAATGGTTCAGAAATGTTTCATAAACATTTCAAAAATATAATAATGATGGAGAAAATATTTAAAAATTTCTTTACAAAACATTGGTCAAAACATTTTAAAACACCTCAAAACTTTCTGAAATATCTCGAAACATAGAGGGCCAGATTGATTTGGTTTTTGAAAACAGTTTTTTTTATTCTCAAAATTCCAAAAACAAGGGAATGTTGTTTCATTAGGTCTTTTGTTCTCCAATTTTTTGAAAATTTTAGAATTAAGGTATAATTTTAGAGAACAACAAAATGGTGTTTTCATTGTTTTCTAAGAGAAAATGAAAACACAGGAAACAACCTATCTCCATATTAGTGAGGCCCCCCCTTCGAGTTTTTTTCGTTGGAGACAAAAAATGGAAACTGTTCATTCTTCTTCTCCACCGCTCTTACTGAGCGTGCTCTCTCTCTTCAACTTCTTCTCCACCGCTCTTAGTGATCTTTCTCTCTCTCTCGCAACTATTGAAGCTTCAGATCTGTGTGCCTCTGTGTGAGTGTGTGTGTGTGAGTCTGTTTGTGTGTGCGTCTGTGTGTATATGCGTCTGTGTGTTAGTCTGTGTTTATGTATGTGTGTGTATCTATGTCTGTGTCTGTGTGTGTTTTGTAGAGAAAGAGATAGGAATTGGGGTTTTGTGGATTATTGTTCAAACATATTTTATAATTTTTTATTCTTTAAAACTATTTTCGAAAACATATAACCAAACAGGTTTTGCAATCTAAAATTCTTAAAAACACACTTCCTTAAAACTCTTCTCAAAAACTATTTTTGAATACTATTTTTTAAAATGCAAACCAAACGTGCTCAGAAATTTCGAAATTCAATCAATGATTTGTTTTGCTTTTTATGGAAATAAAAATGTTTTGACTATTTTGAAAAGAAACTTGGATCGTTGGCCTCGTCTATGGTCTCTGTATGCCTTAAAGAATGAAAATTAAGGATTTTCTACATCTAACTTGAAGATTGGATGAGCAATTAACAATCAAAGATAAATAATAGAAAAGAACCAAGTAATGGCAGTCACAACTTATTGTTCACCCCAACATCAAGTTCAAAGGTGTAACTAGATTTTCAAGAACTCACGAATGTCACCGGAATTAAATAGATCTAAAGAGTCTTAGTGCTCGTTTGGTTAGCGTTTTTGTTTCGTTTTTTTGTGTTTTTTTTTTATTTTTTGAGAAAAAAACAAAAATAAAAACGAGTTTGGGTTTGTATTTTTGTTTTAGGGTTAATTGCACCGAAGGTCCTCAAAGTATATGATTTATCTTATTTTGGTCCCTAATAATTCAATTGTATTATTTTAGTTCCTAAAATATTGAATATATTTTTATGTGGTCCCTCAAGCAGATAACGTTCAGATTGCTAATGGTTTTTGATCATAAACTTGTCACATGATACCTAAATATAAACAAGAAAGAATTTGGATAGCTCTTAACCAAAATTTTTATAGTTCTTGACAAAAAATATGTAATATGAGTAGTTTATGTTCAAAATTTAGATAGTTCACGATTAAAACTGTGTAATTTAGGTAATTCTTTGCCCAAATTTTGGGTAAACATTAGTCAAGTTTTATCTAAATTATTTTTTTACCCATATGTAGGTATCATGTGACAAGTTGATGTTATTCACCCCAACATCAAGTTCAAAGGTGCAACTAGATTTGCAAGAA